TCAAAGACCCTCGACGCCCCCTCTTACCGACCAATCAGAGCGCTTCCTTACGAAAGCCGGCAGCAGTGACAGCCAATGAAAATAACATTTGGCCTACCCCCCACCTCTTCCTTGCCTCACGCCCACGTGGTGCGCCGGGGGTGTGTACGCCAAGAAGGGGAGGAAGCCGAGAAGCACCTCCCACTGAAGCTGGCAGTTACCGCCCCCCGGGAGACCACCCACCAGCCCGGAGCGGTCGCAGGACCGGCAACGGCGAGAGGCCTTGTTTACACCGACTGCTGCCGCTGCGTTGGCCAACCGCTCTTCCGTCATGCGCCTACCTCGTCACACATCTCGCGGCTTCCTGGCCGGCGGGCTGCAAACGTCACACGACGGTCCCGCCCCCTTGGCCAGCCAACTGAACAGCGGAGCACGGTGATTGATAGATAGGCGGGAGAATGCGCCAGGGGCCTGAGGGGAGGAGAAAGTGCGCACCGGAGGCGGGCCTTTCGCCCTTGTTGGGGAGGAGTAAGTGGGAACTGGCAGCCTCTTGGATCAGAGACAGCCAAACTAGACGTAATGGCTGAAAAGCAGGGCTTAAAAAAAAATAATTGGTGGTTCACTACCGAGAGGTATTTTAGCAAGGGATACAATTTACTGTCTGTCCCTAAAGATCATTTGGCATCGCATTTTTCAGACAGTGCCCAAGGCCTCCCCCACGCATTTTCTCCCCACTGTTTCCTCCGTCCAGCTGGAGCCGTTCTCCTGTCGTCGGCTGCAGCTCCAGTCGGTCCTGTCCTCAGGGGTGCCCGGCGTCCCAGTAGGCTTCCACACCTTCCTTCCGGGCTTAGCTTTTGGAAACCTTTTTGTTGGGACTGCCCCCTTTTAGACCTCCCTTAAACCGCTCTTGCAACTTTTTAGACGATCCCTGGCTTTCCGCTGCGGTCTTTGCAGACGCTCCCTAATATACGCGTTGTTCTCTCAGAGCTTTTCCGGTTCCGGCAGTTCCCCTTAGAAGCTTCCTTGGCCCTCCGCGATTTGCAGACCTTCCCTAGTCTCTCTGTCCTTGCTGTGCCTCTTTGCCCCCGGCCGCGGGTCCAGGGTGCGCGCGCCGCCTCCTGCCCCCGTCAGCCGGTTGTTGAGTAATAAGCCTGAGTCCAAGGCCGGGGCTTGCCACGTCTCTGATCCTCGACCAGGCTGGGTGAGGAGGCGTGTGGGTTGAAGGACCTTGATGTCCCGGGCTTAGAGGCTCAGGGTCCGAGCTGAACTTCAGTCCCCGCAGCCTGCACTCCCTTGGGAAAGCTGCGAGCTTCCCTCCGCCCGCTCCTGAGGGCGTCGATGGGCTCTGCCTTCTTGGGCCCTTCTGGGGCCTCTGTCAGTGAGGGCGAGGGTTTGGCCGGCTTTCGAGCGACGTCTCCTGGTCTCCAGACCCCGAGACCTGAGCCTGTCACCAGGACTAGCTTTGATGGACTCTACATCCATAATGCTTTGTTTAACGTTCTACTGTTAACGGTCTTGAAATTAATAATTTTAAAGCAAGTGCCGGGCATTTTCATCTTGCGCTTGGCTCCACTGATTATGTAGGCGGGCTGCTGGGCGCGCATCACGTATTGCCAGATTACTTACTTTCTGTGCTTTAAGGTTTATTGAGACTTTAGGATACCGTGGTTTCTGGGTTACCCAGCCTGGAAAATCGGAATCTTTATTTATTGATTGATTTCACCTCCATTCTGTCAGAATGTGACGGAATCATCTTTAAAAAAATTGGCCAGGCGTGGTGACTCTCACGCCTGTGATCCCAGCATTTTGGGAGGCTGAGGCGGGTGAATCCCCTGAGGTCAGGGGTTCGAGACCAGACCAGCCTGGCCAATACGGTGAAACCCCGTCTCTACTTAAAAAAAAAAAAATTAGCCGGGAGTGGTGGCGCACTCCTGTAATCCCACCTACTCGGGAGGTTGAGGCAGAAGAATCGAACCCAGCAGGTGGAGGTGAGCTGAGATCACGTGACTGCACTCCAGCTGGCTCTACAAGAGCGAAACTGTCTCAAACAAAAACAACAAAACAACAAAAAACCTTTATCAATTCTTTGTCTTTTAAATTAAGGCCTTCAAATCTTACAGATTCTTTAGCTGATTGAGGTTATTTTCTCAGTAATCATCCAAAATCAAATTGTATTACTTCATGCCTCTTCCACTAGTTGATCTGCTGAAGAATCTTCTAACAGCATTTAGTGCTTAAGAACCCACAAGTGAGCTGGGCACGGTGGCTCTCCACTGTAATTCCAGCACTATGGGAGGCTAGGAGCAGGATCATTTGAGGCTAGGAGTTCAAGGCCAGCTTGGGCAACATAGTGAGACCCAGCCTACAAAAAAGGAAAAAAAATAGGCTGAGTGCGGTGGTTCATGCCTGTAATCCCAGCACTTTGGGAAGTCAAGGTGGGTGGATTATGAGGTCAGGAGATTGAGACCACTCTGGCTAACACAGTGAAACCCTGTCTACTAAAATTACAAAAAATTAGCTGGGTGTGGTGGCACGCGCCTGTAATCCCAGCTACTTGGGAGGCTGAGGCAGGAGAATCACTTGAACCCGGGAGTCGGAGGTTGCCGTGAGCCAAGATCTTGCCACTGTACTCCAGCCTGGGGGACAGAGCGACTCAGGCTCAAAAAAAAAAAAAAAAGCTGGCCATCGTGTCGTGCGCCTGTGGTCCCAACTTACCTAGGAAGGCTGAAGGAGGGAATCTTGAGCCCAGGAGGTGGAGGCTGCAGTCAGCCATGATTGCTCCATTGCACTCCAGCCTAGGCACAGAGCTAAACCTTGTCTCTAAAAAAAGAAAAGGAAATAATTCACTATTGTTCATTGTTTCAAATACAGACTTGCAAACCTGGTTGTCTATTTTTAGTAACTTTATTTTTTGATATTCCTGCCAAGCAAATATGCTCATAAATACCTTGTTTATTTTTACGTCTGCACCTTCCTAGGAGAATTTCTTATCAGAGGGAAGCTGTCTCTACCAAACTTCCTTCTCTCTACCAAACTTCCTTGTAGCCTTGCACTTTGACCCAGTAATACTGCATCCAGAAGTCTAGCCTGGACCTGCATTAAGATTGTTGTTCTTTCTCTATGCAGCCATCAGGTAAGCCAAGATGGGTGCACACAAGTACATCCAGGAGCAATGGAGAAAGCATTGCAGTCTGATGTCATGCATTTTCTTCTGATGGTCTGCTGCTGGCAGTACCACCATCTCTCTGCTCTCCTCAGGGGTCCCCGTCTCACCTGGCCTGATAAAGTGCACCAACTGGGCTACAAGGCCAAGCAAGGTTACGTTATATATACGATTCGTGTTCATTGTGGTGGCCAAAAATGCCCAGTCCCTAAGGGTGCAACTTACAGCGAGCCATCATGGTGTTAACCAGTTAAAGTTTGCTCGAATCCTTCAGTCCATTGCAGAGGAGCAAGCTGGATGCCACTGTGGGGCTCTAAGAGTCCTGAATTCTCACTGGGTTGGTGAAGATTCCATATACAAATTTTTTGAGGTTATTCTCATTGATCCATTCCAAAAGCTATCAGAAGAAATCCTGACACCCAGTGGATCACCAAACCAGTCCACAAGCACTGCGAGATGTGTGGGCTGACATCTGCAGGCTGAAAGACCCGTGGCCTTGAAAAGAGCCATCAGTTCCACCACACTATTGGTGGTTCTCACCTGGCAGCTTGGAGAAGGCGCAATACACTCCACCTCCACCATTACCACTAATACAAGTAAAGTTTGTAAAATTCATACCTAATAAACAATTTAGAACAAAAAAAAGATATATGTTCTACATAGCAATTGTTGATAAAAGTGGAACACTGGAAACAAAGATCTAAATATCTTACAATATGGGATTGGTTAAAGAAATTATGGTCCATATAGTACATACACAGAAATACCAGGTAACTATTAAAATGGTGTTGTAGTCTTCTTTTTTTTTTTTTTTTTGAGATGGAGTTTCACTCTTGTTGCTCAGGCCGGAGCGCAGTGGCACAGTCTCGGCTCACTGCAACCTCTGCCTCCTGGGTTCAAGTGATTCTCCTGTCTCAGCGTCCCGTGTAGCTGGGATTACAGGCATGCGCCACCACGCCCAGCTAATTTTGTCTTTTTAGTAGAGAGGAGGTTTCCCCATGTTGCTCAGGCTGGTCTCAGGTGATCCGCCCACCTTAGCCTCCCAAAGTGCTGGGATTACAAATGTGAGCCACTGCGCCTGGCCTTCAATTTTTTTTTTTTAAAGTACCTATTCATGGTATAGGTTTGTTGTAGCCTTTTATTTTTATACCATGGGAAATTGTGCAAACTACATTGTTAAGTTTTCTAAAAAATGATAGTCATTTCTTCTGGTGACGTGATAAATGCAAAAACAATGTGGTTTCTTAAAAAGTATATTTTTATTAAAAAGTATAATAGGCATGGTAGCTCACACCTATAATCCCAGTACTTTGGGAGGCTAGGTGGGCAGATTGCTTGACCCCAGGAGTTTGAGACCAGCCTGGGCAACATGATGAAATCCCATCTCTACAAAAACTACAAAAAAAAAAAAAAAAAAAAAAAATTTAGCTGCACCTGTAGTCCCACCTACGCAGAATGCTAAGGTGGAAGGATCACCTGAGTCTGGTCGAGGCTGCTGTGAGATACGATCAGCCACTGCAATTCATCCAGTCTGGGTGAGAATGAGACCCTGTCTCGAAGGGGGAAAAAGAAGTATAATAATACCTACCTCATTACACCATTAAACAAAGTGGAGAAGGCTTGCATGAACCAGTGACAAAGGTATAGCTTGTACAAAGGATTCTGATTAATACAATTACAGCACCTGAGGTCCAGAAAACCAAAAAACTTCTGTTAAGTGTGTCTCTTTAACAATTCATTTTTTGATTCTCTTTTTCTCTTTCTTACAAGTCAGTTTAAACCCGAATAAAATCTTTTAATTCAAGCTTTTGTAACATGGAACTTGTACATTATTAAATAAAACATTTAGAAGTCAAGGTAAGTGTTAAAAAATCTTAGGTTTTATGACCAAAATGAGTCCTTCTTCACATTGCATCAACTGGGAAAGATACAGGATTAATCACTGGATCCATTGATTAACTTTTTTTTTTTTTTTTTTTTTGAGACGGAGTTTCACTCATGTTACCCAGGCTGGAGTGCAATGGCGCGATCTCGGCTCACCGCAACCTCCGCCTCCCGGGTTCAGGCAATTCTCCTGCCTCAGCCTCCTGAGTAGCTGGGATTACAGGCACACGCCACCATGCCCAGCTAATGTTTTGTATTTTTAGTAGAGACAGGGTTTCACCATGTTGACCAGGATGGTCTCGATCTCTTGACCTCGTGATCCACCCGCCTCGGCCTCCCAAAGTGCTGGGATTACAGGCTTGAGCCACCGCACCCGGCCTGATTAACTTTTTTTAAGTGAAAAAGATTTTTAAGTCTATGAACTTATCTCACTATGACCTGTAATGTTTTTCAAACTGTATAAGAGCATTTATATCTTAGGGTATACTATATGTCTATTGAAAAAAATAAAATGGCATATCTTTAAAAATAATTATAGTGAAGTCATTTTGATACACTCAGTTTTGCCTTTCCTCTCTTGATTTTGAAATTTGGTACTTTGCTTGGTTCCAGTTTGTGAAACACATTTCATTTGGGTAACCTCTAGTCTCTCCAGCTGCGCTTAAAGCCACAGAGAGGTTTTCTACCTTCAGTACCCATTTTAAGACCATGTCTGATAATTGCTAAGTAAATGTCAGCTAGCTGACTTCCTGCCTGACCTGCCTTGGCCTGTTTCCTGTGCTCTTTAGCATCTCCACTAGAGGGCAGGCCGGGCTGGTGAGGAGAGAAGGAAAGGAGCGTTTTCATTCTCTTGCTAACGTTGTGCTCCTCTCCTCTAACCGCAGCCCCCCAGCCTGGTGACCACACAGAGCTCCTGGGACAGTTCCATTTTTGGAAGTGGCTGATGCTCATACATGTGTTTAAACATTGCCTTGTAGCATTCTCTGTGTTGATGGAAGTGGAGAGTGTGCTAATTTACCTAGGGACTTAAAATGTGTTGACTAGAAAGCAACTAAGTAATTGTGGGATATTCTAATACTCTCATGTCTTGTGTCCGTAAGAACCAGATTTTTCTGCATGTAGGGTAGGGGCTACAGATGTAATACAAGTAAATACCCTTTGATGGCCTGGATGGTGGCTCACACCTGTAAGCCCAACACTTTGGGAGGCTGAGGCAGATGGATTCCTTGAAACCAGGAGTTCAAGACCAGCCTGGGCAACATAGTGAGCCCCCATCTCTACCAAAAAAAAAAAAAAAAAAAAAAAAAATTAGCCAGGCATGGTGGTGGCTTGCACCTGTAGCTACTTGGGGGGCTGAGGCAGGAGGATCATTTGAGTCCAGGAATTTGAGGCTGTAGTGAGCTGTGATCATGCTACTCCATTACAGCCTGGGCAACAAAGCAAGACTGTATCTCAAAAAATGAAAACACCAAAAAAACCCTTTAGCCCTGATTTTGAATGGAACATATCAGTATGAGCTCTTGAGGTTTTATCTTCTGTCTGTATCCACCAAAAAGATCTAGAAACAATGACCAATCCAATATCAATGAACACTCCTAGCATCCAGATTGTGGTCTTAAAATGCCGTTTCCCACCGAAAGAAGCCAGAGATTCTTAGAGAAATGGCTGATTCTAAGTTTGGGGAAGGAACTGAACAAGATGAGCATGGAACAACTTATACCAGAGAGCCAGGAAGCAAGCAGTATGTATCATGTCGAAAAGAGTCAGCTCCTTTTGGTCTAGCTTCCATGGCCAAATGTGGGACAATTTGAGCATTTAATAAGGTCAATTTAATAAATGCTAAGTATGTTTAAATCCATGAGTTCATAATGTGTAACTAACTGGTTACCTTTTCAAAGGATGATAGGAAATCGAATCATTATTTTTAAGATGGTGAAGGTAATTAAGCAGTTATCTTGCTGTTCCTATATAAAGGATACCACAGGATAATGAAATAGAAGTGTCAATTTTATAAAATTATTGTGACTGTTATGACAACTCAGACATGGCTGTTTTGCAATCCCTAGTGAGTTAATGCATCTAGACACTGAACATCTGGTTCTGGATTCTTCAATGGCTAAATTGAAGGAAAGGAAAGGAACAGAGGGAGAATCTGTAGACTGATAGAGACTTAAAAGACATATGAAAATTTTTAGAAAATGGGAGCAAAGCTAAACTATAATGTTTAAGGATCTACATTTAGGTGATCAAACGATAAAAAAATGGAAAGAAGTGATTATTACCCACCACAGTATATCTACTATGGCAGGAAGGGGTGGCTGTGATAGAGATGGGCAACCAGTTGGGGCAGGGCAGGGTTGGTGTCTGGCAAAGTTCTGTTTCTTTCCCTGGGTGGGGTTCCAAAGGTGTTCACTTCATGATAGTTTATTCAGCCATATCTTTGTTTTATATGGTTTTCTGTATCTGTGTTTTATTTTTAAACAAAATGATTAATTGTAATGTGTTAACTATATTTTATCAGTTATCTGGAGCTGAAGGGCATGCAGCCCAATTTTATTCTAATTAATAAAAATCCAATCCTTTTTTTTTTTTTTGAGATAGAGTCTCAGAATTCTGTCACCCAGGCTGGAGTGCAGTGGCGCGATCTTGGCTCACTGAAACCTTCACCTCCTAGGTTCAAGCAATGCTCCTGCCTCAGCCTCCCGAGTAGCTGGGACTACAGGCATAGGCCACTATGCCTGGCTAATTTTTGTATTTTTAGTAGAGATGGGGTTTCACCATATTGGGCAGACTGGTCTCGAACTCCTGACCTTGTGATCCACCTGCCTCAGCCTCCCAAAGTGCTGGGATTACAGGCCTGAGCCACCGCACCCAGCTAAATAAAAATCATTTTTAAGGCTGACACTTTCTTGTTCCTGTGCATCTAGATATCAGAAAGGTGCCTGGAACCCTAGTTACCTGCCTCTTTAGGTGATCAAACGATAAAAAAATGGAAAGAAGTGATTATGGAGGGATTTATTTTTAAATCTATTTTCTTTCCCTCCTAAATTTTATTTACATTGCTTATGTTCCTCTCAAACTGTAGAGTCAGCAATATGTAATATACGCTTGCAGGGCCTACTCTAATCATTATAAAGTGGAAAGGTCATGATGGCTAGCATGTATTAAATGGTTATTCAGTGCCAGGTATAGTTCTGAGAGCTTTATTCCATTGACTCTTTTAATCTTCCCAACAAGACTGTAAGGTGTAGGCATTTCCATTTTACAGCTGAAGCATCTGAGAGGCAGTTCTGGCTCGAGTCTACTATGTGCTTAATACCTGTGCTATGCTGCTTCTGATGGTATTCAGTTATCACATGCTATTTATGAAGCTAAGTATTTGGCTGTGTTTTATTATTATTTTTTTAACTTTCAAATTTTATTTATTTATTTGTTCTGAGATGGGGGTCTCACTCTGTTGCCCAGGCTGGAGTGCAGTGGCGTGATCTCAGCTCACTGTAACCTCTGCCTTCTAGGTTGAAGTGATTTTTCTGCCTCAGCCTCCCAAGGGGCTGGGATTGCAGGCATATGCCACCAGGCCAGGCTGATTTTTGTATTTTTAGTAGAGATGGGGTTTCACCATGTTGGCCTGGCTGGTCTCAAACTCCTGACCTCAGGTGATCTGCCTACCTCAGCCTTCCAAAGTATGAGCCACCGTGGCTGGCAGCTGTGTTTTAAAGTACAATATACTCCATTGCTAACTTTCTTCTAACCTCTGTTCCACTATAACCTTTAGATTTTTACACGTTCTAGCTAGTCACTGGCATTTCCTATGAGAACATTTGGTGTTTCCTCTTCCAGTTTTTTCCTTTAAGGGAGTTCCCAATAATTCCATTTTACTGTTGAAGTTTGTTCTCTTTTTCTGGGTAAAGACTTCCATCCTACCCACCTTAGTTTATACATTCACTCAGCCTGATCCAAATTGCACAGAAGTTATCCTAAGCTGATGCCACTGACTCATGTGGGACCATTGCATAGTCTTTTCCTGATTACTTTCCAAAGTTGATTTCAGATGAGTTTAGGCTAAGACCTTGCTACTCAAACTGTAGTCCCCAGGCCGGCAGCTTAAGCATCACCCAGGAGCTTGTAAGACAGACAAAGTCTCCAGGCTACCACAGACTTGCTGAGTGACAATCTGCATTTTAACAACATCCCCAGGTGATTCAAAGGCACTTTAAAATTTGAGAAACATGGAATAGGTGACTTCTTTTTTTCTTTTTCTTTTTTTTTTTTTTTGAGATGGAGTCTTGCTCTGCCACCTAGGCTGGAGTGCAATAGCATGATCTTGGCTCACTGCAGCCTCTGCCTCCCAGGTTCAGGTGAATCTCCAGCCTCAGCCTCCCGAGTAGCTAGAATTACATGCACCTTCCATCATGCCTGGCTAATTTTTGTATTTTTGTAGAGAGTGGTTTCACCATGTTGGCCAGGCTGGACTTGAACTCCTGACCTCAGGTGATCTGCCCACCTCGGCCTCCCGAAGTGCTGGGATTACAGGCATGAACTACTGTGCCCGGCAGAATAGGTGACTTCTAAGGTCCTTGCAGTTCTAGATGGCTATACTACCATGAAAGACATATCTGTGCAGTTATCACTTTAACCCTGAGCTCTATTGTTTACTAACTGTGAAGCTTTGGACAAATTACTTGACCTCTCTGTGCCTTTGTTACTTCATCTGTAAAATGGTACCTCCCCCAAAGGGTTGTTATGTACATGCTTAGAACAGTGCCTGGTACACGGAAGGTGCCACAGAAGTGTTAGCTGTCCTAATATTGAACATATTTCTGTGAATACAATTTGACCCCCAGTAAGTCAGGCAGGGGGAAAAACAAATTTGAGAACTGACAATGAAGCCACTTCACTGGTGAATGGGGTTGTAGAGGCTTCTGCAATCTAAGTGGGAGATCAGGAATTTTGGGCTTGGGGGCTACACTGAGCAGCTTGCTGAGGCCCTCACCTTTTTTTAAGACGTCAGGATATAGAGTGGATAGTGCCTTCTCCCAGCAGTTTCTAGTCTGTGACCCAGTGCTAGAGCTGCCTGTAAAACAGATCTTTGATTGTGCTGGGCTGTGCTTCCAGGGGCCGGAAGAAGATTGTGAGATTGGTGTTAGAGGGAAGACTGTGAAGATAGATGGGAAATGAAAACAGCACAAATCTTGTGTAAAATAGATAAGCATCTCTTATTATTGTACAGTCTTTGTGGGAAGGTCTGTGGCACACAGAAGATCTTAGTTAATATCAAATTGCTCATATTTTCTGCAAGCCTGGTGGCTTCCCTATTCCCAGAAATGGATGCTATGTTTTCTTGCTAGACTACGGCCTCAGGTCACATTTTGTGCACACGTCTCTCTAGGGCCTCAAGCTCAGCCAACACCTCTTTGGGCAGATCCTGGTTGACCTGCTCTGTCAGGTAGCTCCGAATGTCACGAACCTCCTGTTCCCAGAAGTCCTTGGGGAGGGAGAACAGCTGAGTGGTGTCTATAGCTCCGAGGCCACTGAGATCCAAGGCTCCTTCCTTTGGCACCAGCCCAATGGGTGTCTCTCGGGCACTGTCCTCCCCTTCTAACCGCCGGCATATCCAGTCTAGCACCCGAGCATTCTCCCCAAAGCCTGGCCACAGGAAGCGGCCTGCCTCGTCACGCCGGAACCAGTTGACATGGAAGATACGAGGCAGCCGGACCCCCTTGCGACCCTCCATGCTCAGCCAGTGTTCCAGGTAGCGCCCGAAGTTGTAGCCAAAAAAGGGCCGCATGGCAAATGGGTCGTGCATGATGATCTTCCCTAGGGAGGGGAGCAGGATGGGTAAGGAATCTTCCTCCTCACTGGGGAAGGGAAGGGCACCCTACATCCAGTTGGAGGAAGCTGTGAAAGGCTAATGGTTCTGGAATATCATCAGGGATGGGGAAAAGATAGAGGTGGGAAGAGGTTGGGCCATATTAGACTCCAGGGGTGGACAAAAGGAAGGTCTGGCTCAGGGAGGGAGAGATGAGGTGCTGTGTGCACACAGAGGAGAGAGAGGAATGGGGTAGGTGCTCACCTTTGTGTTCTGCTGCAGCAGTGGACTCAGAGCGCATGGCACTGCCCACAAATACCCCATGACGCCAGTTGAAGGCCTCGTATACCAGGGGTACCCCTAGATCACCAATGAACAGTCACAGGCAGTCCTTTCCTTTGGACCCTCGCTCCAGCCCTTCTGGTGAGCT